GTAGTAGTAGTAGTAGTAGTAGTAGTAGTAGTAGTAGTAGTAGTAGTAGTAGTAGTAGTAGTAGTAGTAGTAGTAGTAGTGATGATAATAATTATAATGATAAAGCGCATATCCACGCTCTGCAGCATGTTATATGAGTTTCACAATAGGCCTATCATTAACCCAGCAGATCCTATAAGAACACTGAGAAGCAGTCTCTGCTTACCGAGAAGCATAGATCTACAGTGCAATGTGCAGATAACATGCGCTCAGACACATAAAACAAACTGACAAGATCTGTCACTGTTTATAGCTAGGTACCCATTCTCACCTGGGTGAAGTGAGAAAAATTAATGTAAGGTGCCTCTCCCAAGTACACAACGTCGAGCTCCTTACGGGATTCAAACTTACGACCTTACGGTTGCGAGTCCGAGAGCCTGACCAAATGGAAGGTTCAACTAGATTTTTTGCTCTTAAAAAAAACAAAAACCCATACTTACAAGGTAATATGTAAGGAACCGACATTCTCCGCGTGCTATTCTCATAACTGTTTGCTGTGCCATGGTAATATGTTATTTCGCAGACGTAGTAACCGTGGTCTTCTTCCGATAGAGAGTTGAGCGAGATCGTGAGTCCGGTGCGGAGAATCCGCATGCCATTCTTCAGCCATGAAATTTGATAATCCCCATTCCATGTTGAACCCTGGCAGGTGAGATCCAGGTCATCACTCAGGCCAGGACTATCCAAGCTCGCCACGATGGTTGGAGATGGTAGATACGCTGGAATTGATACTTCAAAGTTAAAAAAACAAAAACAACAACAACAACAACAACAAAAAACTTTGAGTTTGTGTAGATCTAATCCATTTTAGATAAGTACCTGGAGAATTAATTATTCGCACATATACCTGCAAAACAAAAGTAAATTAATTCATCCTTAGTGACCTTGCACAGACGACATCAAAAATAAAGATTTAGATGTTACACGACCCAACAGTAACAGAGGTATGTGACCTGTGCACTAAATGAACATGAACGTTAACACCACCAAAAGGCTAGTAAGTGGGTCCTGGAATGAATTTTTAAAAATCAAAAGGGGGGAGGGGGGAGGGGGGTGATTATAGTTCTGAAAAAACAACAACTAAGAACAACGAAATGACAATTTCTCTTAATTTAAGATATCTGGTGCTGAGCAAAGTTAACTTCGTTTGTACGTCCCTTTCTTCTCCCCACCTTCTTCTTCTTCTTCTTCTTCTTCTCCTTCTCCTTCTCCTTCTCCTTCTCCTTCTCCTTCTCCTTCTCCTTCTTCTTCT